GACTGTGGCTTGTGAGGGTAAGGGAGAAATACGAAGTAGGGAAGAGCTCCCGGATGTTCTGTGCGCAAGTTTTTTTTTTTTTGGTGTCCGCGTCCTTCGTCGGACACACCCCGAACCCGCAACCCAGAAATCTAAGCTGTTGTAAGCCTTTGACCCTAGACGTGCTCAAAATGAACTAAAAGCCCCTAACCCCTGAACCCTTGACCCCTAACATGCCACAAGGCAACCTCTTTCTCATCCTCAACATTGAGTTCCCAGACTTTCTGTCTCCAGAGAACCAGGCTGCTGGATGTATTGTAATGGCCGCAAACTTTCAAAATGATCCCGAACCCTAGGGTTAAACATTTTTTAATGTCGCACATGCGAGGTGGACATAGAGCCGCTTCAGAATGAAATATTACCTTCCCCTCACGGCTAATAAATATCCAATTATTCTCCATGAGAGAACTTGTACATGGGAGGTGACATGAGCTATAGTCTAAATTCCTAGTATCCCCCTTGATAACCACGTTTGTACTTCCCTATATAATCCTTTCTACCCCCCCTAAACCTAAACCCTCAAACCTATAGTATCCCCCATATAACCCCTTTTAAAGGGATTAGACTATATAGCTCGCAAGTTCAATGTTGAGGTTGTGGCTGTGTGGCATGAGCAAGCAGGGTTTAGGGTTTAGAGTTTATGGACATCGCACAGGGTTCATGTCACGGGTTTAGGGCGAGCTTTGAGCGGAGTTTTGGCTTTTGTTTTTCCTTGTCCATTTTCACTGAAAAGAGTGTGCCTTTGGTTTTTCCAACCCCAGGCAACCTTTTGGGGAGCTTCTGGCATTGATTGTTTTCATAATTTGGCAAGGGTTTCGGTCTACTGGGGTATAATACGATACACGTAGAGGATAGTGGAGTAGAGGATACTTGAAAAGGATACTGGAGTAGAGGATATGAGCAAAAGGATGCTGGAAAGAGGATACTACTAAGAAAGGGTATTTGCCCACGAGAAGCGCGAGGGAACGGAACTGGTTCACAAGCCTGACCAAGCCTGAGTCTGGCAAGGGTTTGGCAGGGTTTTCAGCTTACTGGAGTGTAGGATGCTACTGAAGGATGGAGTAGAGGAGACTAGCAAAGGATACCTGGCCAAATTTGAGTTTGGCCGGGGTTTGGCAAGGGTTTTGGCTCAGTGGAGTACAGGATACTAGTAAAGGATACCGTAGTAGGAGGGTTAGGGGGACTTAGTAAGTGGGTTAATAACCACAATAACCCATATAGCAACCCTCATTACCCCCTTATTAACCTACTTAATAAGTCCCCCTGACCCTAAACCCTAAACCCTAAATATCCCTAAATAATATAGTAGCTTCCATTTTCTTTTCCATTATTACTGAGTCCCCCTGGCCCTCCAAGTAGTGGAGGATACTCGAAAAGTTGGCAAGGTTTTGCTGGGTCAAGGCACTGATTCCTGGGCGACCGCGGTGCTGCCTATATGAGCCATTTCCTAAACTCCTAGTATCCCCCTTAATGACCCTTATACTACTCCTCTGTAGAATCCCCTATGTTACCCCCTTTAAGGAGTTTAGACTACAGCTCATATGATTTTGTATTTATCATGGTCTTGAGGGCCCTAAACCCTAAACCCTAAACCCTAAACCGCATCCTAGACCCTCAGCCCTATCCCAAGAGGGTGCTCCTGCTAGCCGTTCTCAACTCACGGACCCGGTTCAGGGTGTATAGTCCCCCTTAAGTAGATATAGGGAAATGGAAACGAAAATGGAAATTACTATTTAGGGCTTACGGTGTATGATTTAGGGTATAGTCCCCCTTAAGTAGATAGAATCTGGGGTATATGGGGATCTTATTATAACATACCCCAAGCCATATTCTATCTACTTAAGGGGGACTCTAGGGTTTTAGGGTTTAGGGTTGAGAGTTGAAACCCTAAAGCCGGCTTCATGGTTGGATTCTAAGGTCCTAACCATGGGCCCCTACCTCTTTGCGGGGTCTTGGGGCTAAGGCCCGTAGTTCCAACCTGAGATGAAAGCAGCTCTTTCATCTTTGTTATATTAGAGCCGCATAAGTGATGTGATACATAATCCAAAAAAGTATCCTGAAACCGAACCCGATAATGAAGGACAATTGTGTAGCCAGGTTGCTATGTCGAAGCTACTTCCGCCACCGTTGCACACGCCAAGCTTGTCAGAGGAGCGTGATAGGCGTTTGCAAAACTGGGGGGGGGACCCCGTGTCTGAATTGTTAATTGACTCACGGGGTGTAGGATTTGGGAGGATTCAGAGTTGTCATTGAATGTCCATTACATACACTATACAGCGCTTGGGTGTAGGTCTTGGAGGGATACTGCACTGTAAAGATATTCGGCCAAGGAAGCCTAGGGAGAGTAATAGGGTCTTTGGTTCCAAATTTTGGGCAGAAAAAGACAGATGTCAAGCTGTAGAATCTGATGCAGGGGCCCCGATGAACTGTTTAAGCTCTCTACATGCGCATGGTTCCCTTCAAGTTCTCTGCATGCCCATGGTTCCGCGCACATGAGCCTTTGTAGAACCACAAACCATATGCCCTCAACCCTAAACACCGACCCCTAGAAACTTGAACCCCGTTCGCTTTTGCTTCGTATCCAAATCCCAACGATCTTAGCCCTCTTCCGAATACTTTCACTGGCTTAGGGTTTAGGGTTCAGACCCTAATCCTAGCTCAAGCTTCAGAGCCCTCAAACAGCTGTTAACTTAGCCCTGACAGGGTGACATTAGCACCTCAGACTCTAACAGCCATGGCACCTAAACCCTAAACCCCTAAACCCCTAAAACCCTAAACCCCTAAAACCCTAAACCCCTGAGCCCCTAAACCCTAAACCCCTAAACACTAAACCCCCTAAACCCTCAATCCCAAAGCCTCAAGCTGAACCAGGATTCTCCAGATGTTGAAGTTCACACTGTGACCGACATTGACCCAGTGCAATCCTTCAACTCCAACAAGGATACCGTTTTGTGTGCGGCTTAGGGTTTAAGATTGGATCTTTTTTTTTGAGAACCGTCTATGCAGACCCGCTTAACGATCCAAAAGCTGGACTCTTCAAAGAGCGACCCCATCACTAGATTGGTGAAATGATATGGAGGTTCATGGGATTAAGTAACTATTTCTAGTTCCCGAGATGTGGAAGGTGGGTTTCTGCTTCAAATGCCTGAGCCCTATAGGATCCCAGACCCAGGGTTTAGGGTACCCGACAAAAATTGAACCTCCCCATAGCCCTATATAGTTTCCTAGTCATAGTATCACTTTTGGGAGGCTCTTTTTTTGGGATCCTTTAGAGGGTTTAAACCCAAAACTCTAAACCCTAGTGGGATGGGCACCCCCAATACAGAAACAGATTTGGAGCCAACCTGAAACCTGGTGTTTGCTGAGCAGGATACTGTGGATACGAATACATCCTGCATGACCTTAAAGGTTTAGGGAGTAGGGTTTGTAGGCTAATGTTTTAAAGTATTAGTTTAGGGTTTAGGGTTTGTACATCATTAATTATTAATGTTTTACCAAACATCCAGCATGACCTTAAGGGTTTAGGGATTAGGGTTCGTACACTAGCCTTATACAAAGCATCCTGCATGACCTGAAGGGTTTAGGGTTGGGGGTTTGTACGCATTGTTATACAAAACATCCTGCATGACCTTAGTGGTTTAGGGTTTAGGCTTCGTACACTAACGTTTTACAAAACATCCCGCATGACCTTCGTGGTTTAGGTTCTAGGCTTTGTACACTAATGGTTTACAAAACATCCTGCATGACCTTAGTGGTTTAGGGTTGCGGGTTTGTATTGCAGAGAGAGAAAGGGAACATATTGGTGGGGCTTTATAGGGATAATGGAAAGAACATGGAAATGGCTACAATTTGAATAATGCATGCATTGGCAGTATAGTAGGGAATGATATTTGCTGGGCCTTTGAGTTTTCAAGGTATAAGGTAGTTAGGATCATCAGTGAATTTAGTTGAATTTAGTATCCACCGCAGGTCTTACCATACCGTTTCCTAGCTTCAAGAACAAAACGCTACATTATCCGCGCAGGGTAACGTTTGAGGCTTTACAAATTGAGAGGCTGAACCATAACGACGTCGTCCGACCTCACCCAAGATGACCTTGTACATGGAACATCATCGAACATTGTCCCTGAATAGCCTTGTTACCAGCTTTGGGAATTGAAGCCCTTATATGAACCCTGTAGACCCCTATGTATTCCCAGATGCCCCCGCAGAATCTTTCTTTCAGGCGGCTCTTACTGTTGGTACTAAGAACCCGCATGACCTTGCAACGCTGTAATCTCAGAATTTTCAACTTATAGGGTGCTTAATGCCATGCAGGAGTTTCAGTATCCCTAAACCCTAAACCCTAAACACCGTACTGAAAGCCCAGAAGCCTCCAACAGGTCAACATGCAGGGAGGCAGTGAGGCCTACGACGAGGAGGAGGACATGCAAACTGCTGCCGACCCAATTATAACGACTTCGTGTTTAATGGCAGTCTCCATAAATAAGGAGACTCCAAAACATTATAATGGCAAGTATGAAGACCCGCAATCAGCACGTGATTCGCAGAAACCCCCCCCCCACCCCCCCCCTTTCCCACCCCCACCGCCCCCCCTCCCACCTCCCCCGCCCCCACCCCCACCCCCAC